ATACGGTAGCCCAGGAATGAAAATTACCCCCATGATGGCATATCATTTGCAATAGTAGACAACCCAGGGTATTTCAAATTGAGTATGTTCAGTATTTTTTAGTAGCCACTTAGTCACAAACACTGGCCAAAATTGGAGTTAAATTAGTTTTTTGCATTTTCAAATATTAATACTAACTTTGGCCAGTTTTTGTGACCAAGTGGCTACTAAAAAAGACTGGACATACTCCATTTGCAATACCTTGGGTTGTCTACTTTTGCTAATGGTATGCCATCATGGGGGTAATTCTTATTCCTGGGCTACCATATGGTCTCAAAGGCAACGTAACCAATCTGGCGAATTTCAATGTGAAAAAACTGAAATATGTAACACACTATATTTGACCCTGTAACTTCCCAAAACACCATAAAACCTGTACATAGGGGGTACTGTTTTACACGTGAGACATCGCTGAATACAAATATGTGTATGTTACTGCAGTAAAAGCAAACAGTATTTTGACATTCACAGTTAAAATGTCACATAGAATTAAGAAAATTTAAAAAAGAATTTTATTTTCTCCCAATTTTTTTATATTTTTTTCATATTAAATTACATTCCATACCTAAATATTTGATGATAAATGAAAGCCCTATTTCCCCTGAATAAAATGATATATAATAAGTGTGGGTGCATTTAATATGAAAGAGGTGAATTACGGTTGGACAGACATATAGCGCCAGGTTTTGTTTAAGTTTTGTTTTGATCACAACTTGTACATTTGGCTGCGGTCTTAACCCCTTAAGGACTGGACTGTTTTTGCGATGTTGTACATTTGCGACCAGGCATATTTTTACACTTTTGTGGTGTTTGTGTTTGGCTGTAATTTTCCGCTTTCTCATTTACTGTTCCCATACAAATTATATATTGTTTTTTCAGGACAAAATGGGCTTTCTTTACATACCATTATTTATATAATCTCATGTATTTTAATTTTAAAAAAAATACAAAAATCTGATGAAAAATTGAAAAAAATACATGTTTTTTGACTTTTACTTGAAAAATCTTTTGCTCATCTACAAAAGCGAATTAAAAAAACTGCTAAATAGATTCAAAATTTTGTCCTGAGTTTAAAAATACCTAGTGTTTACATGCTTTTTTGCTTTTTTTTGCATGTTATAGGGCTATAGGTACAAGTAGGATATTGCGGTTTCAAAACATACATTTTTTTAAATTTATCAATAGTGACATTGTAACACTATTATCTGTCATAAATCTCTGAATAACACCCCACATGTACATATTTTTTTTTAAAGTAGACAACCCAGGGTATTCAATATGGGGTATGTCCAGTCTTTTTTAGTAGCCACTTAGTCGAAAACACTGGCCAAAGTAAGCATTCATATTTGTTTGTGTGTGAAAAAAGTAAAAAAACTAAATTGAACGCTAATTTTGGCCAGTGTTTGTGACCAAGTGGTTACTAAAAAAGACTGGACATACCCCATTTGCAATACCTTGGGTTGTCTTCTTTTGCAAATGGTATGCCATCATGGGGGTAATTCTCATTCCTGGGCTACCATACGCTCTCAAAGGCAACGTAACCAACCTGGCCATTTTCAATGTAAAAATATTTGACCCATATATTTGACCTTGTAACTTTCAAAAATGCTATAAAACCTGTACATGGGGGGTACTGTTTTACTCGGGAGACATAGCTGAACACAAATATTAGTGTTTAAAAACTGAAAACGTATCACAACAATTATATCATCAGTAAAAGTGCTGTTTGTGTGTGAAAAATGCAAAAAAAGTAACTTTCACTGACAATATCATCGCTGTGATATGTTTTACTGTTTTGAATCACTAATATTTGTGTTCAGCGAAGTCTCCCGAGTAAAACAGTACCCCCCATGTACAGGTTTTAGGGTGTCGTAGAACGTTACAGGGTAAAATACAGTGCTAGCAAATTAAATTCTCTGGAATTTCGGCCTGGGTTGGCAGGCAGGTCCTCAAATTGCAATCAATAAAATTACTGAATTATGTAAAAATATTACATAAATACGCACGTAGAATTTAAATATATATGCATATTTATATATTTGAAGTCTACATGTATATTTATATAATTATTTATGTAATTTTGTATATGGACATATGTATATTTCTTATTATTTTTATTTATTTTTATATACATAGATATATATACAAATTCATTCTAAGTGTATTTTGATATAAATATATATATATTAATTTTAAAATACAGTTAGAATAAACTTTCATATAGCTATATAATTTTTTTAAATTTTTTTATTATTTAAAAAAAATTATTTAATTTAAATTACTTATGATTTATATTTTATAATAATATATATATACAATATATAGTTATTATATATATTATATATATATACTTGTGTAATTTAATTATAAGTGTATTTTTATATTAATTATGACATTATATATATATGATATATAGACATATATTATATAAATATAAAATATGTCTATATATCATATATACACATATATAATTATTATTTTTTTAACATTAACTTTATTTTTTTTAATGATTTTACACATGCAGGGAGACTGCCTGTCAGCACAGGCAGTCCCCCTGCAGGCAGCACTATGGACACCTATTGTGACCATGTGATCGCTCTGTTGAGCGATCACATGGCCACAGGGGTCCTAAATCAGTGTGGGGAGACTGTCTGGGCTGCAGGCAGTCTCCCCACAACCGGAGCCACGCTGATCGCCGACGGCGATCAGGTAAGTACATTGGACCGTTAGGACGGTTCAGGACCGTCATCGGTCGGCAACGCAAAAATGCCGATGACGGTCCTGAACCGTCCTGGGTCGGGAAGGGGTTAAGGGGTCAATATATAACATGTATGAGCACGTATTGGCCCAATCTTGTTGCTGTGCACACTCCAGCACAATAACATATTCAAAGTAAAGAGCATACTCATATGGCTTCAAAATAAACAGGATAACTTAATTTTACAGTTTTGAAACAGCATACATTAACCATTCCAGTTCCATTACCAAACCTTCCTTAATATGTCAGGGTAATTGGGCTGAAAAATTTATCATTTGCAGTTATATGCATGTCTGCTTAAAATAAATCCACTCCTATTTTATTTTGAGTGTTTTCTTTCACATTGTAATAATACTTTTCAATTTTAAGTTTTCTTTCCCACCTCTATGTTTGCACACTATGCTGGCGTGATAAATTATTGGACTGTTATAGATTTTTTTTTTTCCAGGACTGCTTTTAGTTCCCTGTCCAGTCCAGGCTGTAATTCTTTTTAATCCACACCCTAACTGATGTATCCATCTGAGATTTACCTGTGGAATCATATTAAGAAGTTAAACATTTACTAAATTATTTAACTTATTACATTCAGATTTGTGCCAGGCCACTGCTGGCACCATAACCACTATAGCATGATGTAGTGGTTATGGTGTTTGTAGCATTCTTTTGATATTAATCTAGGGACATAGCAATAGTGTATTGTATTCTAATTTGTTTACCTAACAAATAGACAGCAAGTAAAGGTAATGCAAATCTATGAAACAATTAAATGTAATGCAGATCTATGATGATAATTTTTAATCAACTTTTTGCCTTATGTAGAGAAGAGTAAAAACAATTCTATTTAGAGGTCTAGCTGAGAAAATAAAATGCTAGTTTACTGGATACTATCTCTACAGTCTATTGGCAAAAACACATTTCTTTTGAGCTTTTTATTTTGCTTTTTATTTTGCTCAGTTGGTGGTCTAATTTGGAAACAAAAAAATGTGCTCTGTGAACTTGGCAATAGCTTCCTTTTTTCTCAGTGGTTTGTACAATTCCCTCAGCAAGCATAGCATATAGAAACAGTAAGGTTTTTTTTTTTTTTTTAAACTGTTCTGGATGAGACACTTCAATCTTAAATGTACAGAAAGCAGAAAATATGTGGTCTGAAATTATATTTTTTGTTTTGTGATACAAAATAAATTCAGTTTCCTTTTACATTTGTCAGTCTTCCCTGCTATTTGCACATTATGCTGTGCAGAACAGTGGCGTAGCGTGGGTTGTCAGCACCCGGGGCAAGGCAAGTAATTTGCTCCCCCTAACCCGTGGATTTTAGCACTTGTGTCTCTTCCACTAGATTAGTTAAAGAAACCCTTACCCCCCAAGCACATGTATTGTTTGTTATGAAAATACTTATGTAATTAAAGTAAAATGCATCTAAATACAAGTTTATTTTCCAACACTTTATTGAGTGCGAACATGCATTACACACATTCTCCACATTTTCAGCAGGTCTATGAATACAAATATACAAATGTAGTAACCTAGCATGGGCCATGCTATTATATGTCGTCTCACAACCATCGTAAACGACAAAAAATATCAAGAACAAAAACTAAACATCAAAATGGAACCATACCCTGGAGATGATCCAAGACTGGGCTAGATGGAGCCAACTTCCTCAATCCTGTACCTCTAATTGTAATTCTTTAATAGAAGTGCAAGATATCAATCTGTATATAATATACAGATTAATTTAAATTCGCCTGCTTTTAATTAGCACAAATTTTTCAACAACGGAATTGAAATCTACATTAAAGTCTCTCTCAATGGACAGTATTGCTAGATTACTCAGTCTTTCTTGGCTCATTGTAGATCTCTGATATGTTTTAATTAGTTTAAGTTTTGAGAAACTTCTTTCACAACTCGCTGTAGAAACAGTGATAGTAAGAAAGATTCTTAATGTGACAACAAAGTTAGTTAAACTTTCTTGCAGCTTCCACTTATACACCCAGCGAAGCAAATCTAAAGCTGACCAGTTTGCAACCTGCTCATCAGGATTGACCTCCTTATACAAGATAATGTGGTGCCGAAGTCGAGTTATTTCGGTGAGCATAGATGCAGCATTCAATTCCGTGTACTGAGCACACGTGTGCTGAATTTGTTTCTTAATAAAATCATCTTTTTTAGTATCCAACAATGTTTGAATTTGCAAAAAAGCAAATCACTGGTGCAGCGTATTCATCTGCGTAGTACGTTTTTTAATTTCTGCCTGAAGCTGATCAATTGCTTCCAGTTGTTCTCTGCTGGTTTCCTGTATTAAGGTCAAGCCAGTATCGCAACTGTTCTCACCATTCATCTTCTTGCGTCTTCCAACTCTTCTCTCTGTAGGTATGCAATAGGTTTTGCATACCTGCAAAGCTTTCTCAGTTGCCTTTGACACTAGACTATCACGTTTTTCATGACAAAATAAAGTCAATCCTTTTAACTTTTGCACGCGTTGATCAAGCGCAAGTCCTTCTTTCTGCAGGTAGATCTGAGTATCATTTACTTTGGTTAGTATTGGGTTCCAAAAATGCAAGAAAGAGAAAAAAACATATGTCATTATGCATACTAAAAGACTTCCTGCATCACCCCTGGTTTCAGAGGTTTCTTCCGGCCCATCTCTCAACGCTTCCAAAGCGTCTATTATTTTCTCAGTGTGTTCAGCAAGTACGCATACAGCTTCATGCGTTGAACTCCATCTTGTGTTACACGATCGCTTTACACGAATTGGTACATGTTTCTTAAGGATATCCCACCTGTGGGTGGAGCTTGAGAAAAATGAATACACCTTTTCCACAGTGCCAAAGAAAGTAACAGACTTTGTCCCAACACCAACTGCATGCATCCCAGCAAGATTGAGCGAGTGATTGTTACATGGCACAAACATTGCTTTGGGATTCATATCCAAAATACGTTTTTGTACACCACTAATGTGTCCAGCCATAGTCGCAGCATTGTCATATCCCTGGCCGTAGCAATGCTCTAGTTTAAGGCCATCAGCTTGCAACTTGTCACAAATTTGTTTTGTAATGACATCAGCTGATTTCCCATATAACTGAATAAAGTCAATGAAAGACTCTGTCACATGGACTCCTGAATCTTCAATATGCACATATCGAATCACTTGGGACATTTGGTCAGTGTGTGAAATATCAGGAGTGCTATCAAACATTATAGCAAAATACTTGGCCTTTATGATATTTTGAAAGATGACTGTTCGAATGTGATTGCCGAGCAGGCTAATAAACTCATTCTGGCTCTGTGGAGAGAGATAGGGCACAATGTAACCATCTGTGTGTTGTACTCTGTGAAGATGTTGTTTGGCAACTGGGTCATATCTGGCTAGTAATTTGAAAGTTTCTAAGAAATTTCCACAGTTACCATCTGTATTTAAATCTTCAGAGTGACCACGTAAGGGTAAGGTTTGCCTGGCTAGATACAGAATACAATCAAGTATTCTGTCTAAGATTGCCTTCCATTTTTCAAATGACCTCTGTTGTGCAAGCTGGGCAGCAGCATCAATAGTCTCCTGTTTATGCAGCCGCATTTCTAATTCTTTCCATATTGTAAATGCACTCAAGTGACATGAACTGCGCTCATGCTCTAGTAATCTAGGGCTTAACTTTCTCCATGCATTAAATCCACTTGACTTTCCAAATGAACTTTTCCCTTTAGCCTTCTGAAAAAGCATGCAAGGAAAGCAATATGCAGCATTGTTTACAGGAGAAAACACCAACCATGTCCTTAACATAGTCTCACCATTGTCCAAATGTATGTAGAACCAATCCTTGGAAAATGACCTGCCATTACTGTCTCTTAAAAACCATGCATCCTTATTCTGCAGTTCCTCTGTCCCTAGCCTGACAAGTTCAGTTTTCAAGGTTTCATCCATGGTTTCAGGCCAATAGCCAATATCAGTATAAACTTTTTGGTCAATATTTTCTGGCAGATTTGGTGAGTATAAGCATCCTTAGATGAAACTGTCTCTGCTTCTAATGCAGGAACAGGAATGTCTACCGACACAGGATCAGGATTACGAGTCTCCTGTGGTGCTACTGATGATGGTCCTGCTGTAATTTCAGCAGTACTCACCAAAAACCGGTGAAGGCTTCCAGCTAACTTAGCTTGTTGCTCTGTCTCTATCTTTCTCCTTTTCCTGCCTTGTGCACCAGATTCTTTTTTGTATGGCATGACATAGTAGTATTCTGCTAAAATTCTAAAAAAAGAAAAAAATAGAAAATCACTTTCTTGCCTTGCTGCACTTTTAGCACCCCTTCATTGTATAACCATTTCTTTACTCTTAACATAATGTTTATTCACCTTCATGCCTATTGCCTTACTCTTTCAGCAAAAAAATAAAAATAAATTAAAGGTTGCGCCTAGACCCACTGGCTTACATCAACTTATGTTGAGCTGGAACAGCTACATATGGATCGAAATCTGTCTCGTCACTGTTGAACCAACCAAACTTCAATCCATCTGGTCAGCTCAACATGCCAGACCGGGAACATCCCAAAGAAACTTCAGTTTGGGAGATGCTCTGCCTCTGCTAGCACTACACAGCCAGCCCACTGAGCCCAGTACTACTCCAGTCAGTCCTGACTCCTACCTTTTTTTTCACCGGCTGTCCCGGACCCGATCACAGCAGTCAGCACTGACTCAGCAGGCTAGGTTTTCTCCTCCAGGTCCTCCTAGGTTTTCCTCCTGCAGTGTCTGTCACCACTGGCTCCCTCTCTCCTCTCTGGCCTGGCTGTGTCACCTGCCGCCGCTGCCAGCTTCTTCTTGCTGCTGCCTGGGCTGGTCTGGTGTGGTTCTCTCCCGCGCTCAGCGCTGCGCTGGGCGGCCGCTGCACTGTCCCTCCCCCAGATAGTCCCTCACTCTCTCTTCGCACCCACCGCACCGCACGCCTGGCACCCCCCCTCCACAGTGGGCGGCGACCCGGCGGCTCGGATCGGATTCGCACAGCCAGCACTGCAGAGAGAGTGAGTGAGCCAGGCAGGGGCAGAGAGCTGTGAGTGCGAGCTCGCCCCCCCAGATGTTGCGCCCAGTGCGGCCGCCCCCCCCTGCACCCCCCACGCTACGTCTCTGGTGCAGAAATATAGTCATCAATATTTCACTGTTATTGCCATATTTCTTTTTACTGAACAAGTTAGAACGTGTAATTTTGTTCCATTATCACAAATGAATTTACGTTGTTCATTTTTTAAATATTTAATATGCAATGATACAGAAATTGAAGACTGCACAACATTATTCACTAAAGAGGGTACTGTTGGAAATTAATTTTGGTAAAAAATTAGTAAATTTAGTAAATAATCCCAGTAGAGCATTAAGTTAGTAGACAGCAATATTTCAATAAATGAAAAAAGGTACACTTAAGACTGGTATTATCTCCCTGCTTTTACAACTTTATACAGATATATTATTTGTTGTGTTTTACTTTTTACATAGTTACAGTACATCCTCTGTCATGTACTGCATATGCATTGCAAAATATCTTCTAACCAGAGCTAGGTTTTGAATTATGGCTAAGGTTTTAGGTTCATTTAAACTTAGGGAAGCACAGTCACATATCAACTGGGTATGTTTCAGTTAGATAGCAATACAAACCTCAAACAGGAGCTGTTATTTGTAGCTATTACTTTCAATTCAGCCCAGTATGATATATCACAAGAAGAGCTTGGAAGACTGAACCCTTGTTGCTTATGATCTCCTAGTTCTTCTCTCCCAAACTCATTATAAGACAATGTTTAAATTAAAAAGGTGGCAGTATTCGGGGCCAATACAAACCATTGTGTGGAAATATATTCACAAAACAGACTTTACATAGGACATGAGGTCATGCGTTTAGACTGGAAGAAAGATTTTGTTTAAGGCAAAGGAAAGGTTTTTTTTACTGTAAGAACAATCAGGATGTGGAATTCTCCGCCTGAAGAAGTGGTTTTATCAGAGTCCATACAGATTTTCAAACATCTACTAGATGCATACTTGCAAAAACAGAATATTCAAGGATATAATATTTCAATGTAGGGTAATAACTGCTTGATCCAAGGATAAATCTGACTGCCATTCTGGGGTCAAGATGGAATTTTTTTCCTAGCTTGTTGCAAAACTGGAAGTGTTTCAAACTGGTTTTTTTTGCCTTTTTTTGGATCAACAGCAAAAAAACAAATGTGAGGAAGGCTGAACTTGATTGACGCAAGTCTCTTTTCAGCTATGTAACTATGTAACTATGTAACCCTGTAAAGGAGAAGACTATATTTAAAAGAAGAAAAACTACCACAACAAGAGGACATAGTCTTAAATTAGAGAGGCAAAGGTTTTAAAATAATTTCAGGAAGTGTTACTTTACAGAGAGTGTTGTGGATGCATGGAATAGCCTTCCAGTTATAATGGTAGAGGTTAACAGTGAGTGAGTTTAAACATGCGTGGGATAGGCATACGGCTATCCTAGACTTAAGATAAGTCCAGGGACTTATGAACGTATTTACAAAAGTGGCAGCCTAGGTGGGCCAAACGGTTCTTATCTGCCGTCACATTCCATGAATGGTGGCTGGTTGTGTACAACCAAATCTGGGATGGGCCTTATAAGAGTTTTACATGTAAAAAAAATCAAAGAACCATGCTTATTTTCTATTTATAGAAAGGTTCAACAAAGTAAAGAGGAGTAATGTACAGCAGTTTTATATAAAGATATTCTGATTCAGTTATTATCTACACTTAAGTAATAAATAATTGTCAAATTATTACCAATAGATGTAAGAACTGATGTGAAAGTAGTTTCAAGAAACACAGGTAAATCATTAATTTTATTATGTATAAAAAAGTTAAATTGTGCAATTTGTTTTATTAACTGGTTGTACTTTTATTCTATATACTATGACCTTGGTTTTTTTGTCTTTGAAGAAAGGTTATATACTAATATTTCAATATATTAGTCTCTGCATTCCCAACAAAGTGTATAGATATATTATTTTAATTCTGCATTGCAAGACATTGTTAAATGAATTTAGGTGAATTAAACAACTGCTACAGTATTATTTTTCACACTATGTTTTGCTCACCTGTGCAAAATAAATTCTTATATAACATTCTAATGTCGTAGGTTAACATTTGTAGCTTAAAAGAACATTCCAACATTTTATATAATTTGTTATTGCCAGAGTTTCCTTTTTCGTGTAGATTACTGTTCTTTTTCTTTTTAAAAAGTTGAAAAATCATAAATATTATTTTTAAATAACTTACAAATGCACTTGCTTGTATTTTCAGATTACTAGCATAAGCTTCCCACTGTTTTTTTGAACTTCATAACTTCAGTTTTTATTGCATTTTAAAGTTTACAAAACTTTAAATAAACAATATTTATAAAAATATATTTTTCTATTCAAATACACATTTTTAGTCCCTGCCTAGTATATTTCAAAATAATGGATGCCACATTGTCTTTAAAACTGTTTATCCCTGAGTATTTATGAACTAATAAATGGCAAATGTACACATGTTTTAGATATTCCTTACAAGCAATGAATCTCTGATTGTTTTATACCACATTTTGTATTGCAAAATTAAAATAAAAGTTGTTTTTATTGTTTAAAATAAAAACTGCTTGACGGTAAGGGGAGTAAGAGTCACATTAATGTCTCTTTTTATAAACTCAATTAAACCGAATAGTAAATATTAGTAGGGTACAAATAACCTACTATTACTATTTGTACAAATAGGATACACATAATAAATATTAGTAGGGTACTAATAATTTAATCATAGTTAGAGTTCATCATGATCAACCATGAAGCCCATCCTTTTATGCTGTTGATCCAAAATAATGCCAAAACCCAATTGTAGGGAAACATAGGGGGAAAAAATCATCTTGACTACCACAATGGCAATCAGATTTCTCAATGGATCAACAACCTGTTTACATACATTTTAATTATATTCTTGAATATTCTGTTTATGCAAAAAGCATCTAAGCCTTTTCTATATTTTCTATATATTCTGATAAGACAATCTTGTTAGGTAGAGAATTCTACATCTTTATTGTACATACTATAAAGAACCCTTTCTTCTGCTGTAAGCAAAAATGCCTTTCTTCTGTTCTTAAAAGGTGACCTCTTGTTGTTTGTATATTCCTACTAATGGACAGGTTAGCGCATATCGGTTTCTACTGACTATATATATATATATATATTTATATATATATATATATATATACTGGCCTGCTTATATTTATTATAGGACGCACTTGACCCCTCTGATTTAAATGTTCTGAATGCCCTTTTCATATTTTTGGTCATGTGACTGACCCTTGTGCTAAGCTACATTGGTTTTAATTTTCTTCTTTTATATTTGTTTCCCAATGTATTGAGAATGTAGGCGTGTGACTATTTTACCATGTGTATTTTGCAACTGTTTGGAGGAAAGAAAATCCTCCTTTTTTGAGCCTATGGAATGTTTTAAAGTAAATAATTTTGCCATTCCTGGGTTCTTGGTCTTAGCATGAGTCTAGTGTGAGCTTATCCATATACTATTAGTAGGGTACATATGTTTACAAATATTATTTTTCTATATTGTTAACTGTTCGAAGAAAACAAATCCATTTTAATTGTGTTTTTCTGACTGTGTTCAGTCCAATGTGTGCAGTGCAAGTCAGGGAGCACTACACGGCATTTCTTTTTTTTTTTTTTTTTTATAATTGAAATTTTTATTTTGCATATTTTGTAGAAATATAAACATTGGGGGGTACAGAATAGAAAAGGGGAAAGAATAATAGTACATAGTGTTGTAAGTAACATACATTTCCGTGTTTTCTACAGAATGTACAATAATCATGGCTGTTAGTGATATTGTATTTCTTCCGTTGATCTAGTGGCTGTATTTATACAATATATCCGAAGTGATTAGACTTGGGGTAACCTATTTACAGATATAACATTACATAAACATATTTACAACCTTTGGTTTGTTTTGTGATGTATCGTGACTCTCTATCATTTTTAGACTCTCTGTCTGGGCTTGTCGATCGGGTCTATAATGAGGTTGTCTGTCATCCCTTTTCAGGGTTTCAAGCATCTCCCTCTCCTTTTTTTTTCTTTCATGGTAATATTGCCACATGTTATGTACCTTTTTGTTTGTTTGGCCTGTGTGACCTTGTGCTCTTGCAAACCTTTCATACGCCACATTTTTGATTA